TGCCGATAGGTCGAGGAGGACGAGGAGACAGAGGGAGCCCTGGTCACAGATGGTCAGGATATCAAGCAGCGGGAAAGCTTGCCACACAGCGATATCGATGACAAGGTATGCAGATTTCAGCCGGTTAGACTCCAGCAGTTACCCCAACACACACTCTGTGGTCCCCAAGCCTTGGCTCTTACCAACGTGCACCTAATAGTTTCTGGAATTAGGTAAGCCGGATGTGCCCCTCCAAGGAGAGAGTGTGCATTCCAGTCCCAAAATCTATCTCGGGGATTTCCATGTGTAGGTGGGATGTGGGGAATTCTCAGCTTGGTTTGGAGACTCTTAAGAATGGTGATGGATTTCTGCACGTGTCAGACACCCAGCCTACCAAAAACAATGTATGTCTCATCCAAAGGACGGCACCACCAACAAATCAGTGCATGTCCCACCACTGCACTGGAGTGCCAGCCTACACTGTGAGCTCTTCCCAACGTGGGCCTTGAACCCATAATCTTTAGACCCAGATGAAAGTGCTACCAACTGAGACAGCATTGCACATGGACAGGCTGCTCAAAGCCACCGCATTCCAGTTTGGCTAACCAGGGCTCCACAACTCCATCCCATGTGAAGGGCGCTGTATAAATGCAAGTTGTTGTTGTTGGAATCTGGGGAGGGTGCTGGTTGTGAAAGCGACCGATCCAGTGAGGATTGCCCCACTGATCTGTAAACACAACGGCACTGGCATCAGGTTAGGTGAGTGATGGCCGGCGACTGAATACTGCTGGAGGAGGGACACCTTATGTTTATAGGTCACAAATTATACAGTGAGATAAAAGCCATCGCAATAGGAGAAAGCAACATAGGAACGAAAGGCCTAAAAAAATTTTAATTTAGTGAAATTGAGTGAAACTGGAGACTGGGATTTACACTTTTTGGTTAATTTCATTGTTCTCTCTCAATGCCGGTCAGGAACCTCGGCGTTCTGTTCGACCCTGAGCTGTCCTTTCTTCCCCACATCCGCGCCACAACTGGCACCGCCTTCCACCACCTCCGGAATATCACCAGACTACGGCACTACCTCACCCCTCACGCGGCTGAAACTCTGGTCCACGCCTTTATCACCTCAAGGCTGGACTATGGGAACTCTCTCCTCGCCGGCCTTCCCGGCCCCTCCCTCCACACTGCAGGTCATTCAGAACTCTGCAGCTCGTGTACTGTCCCGCACCAGACACCGCGACCACATCACTCCCACCCTCGCTCGCCTCCACTGGCTCCCCATCCCCCAGAGGATCGAATTCAAGATCCTCATCCTCACCTACAAGGCCATTCACGGCCTCGCTCCCTCCTACCTCTCCGACCTACTATCCCCTACTTACCTGCCCGTACCCTCCGTTCCTCTGGCTCCGGTCTGCTCCACATCCCCCGCCCCAACTGCCCTACCATCGGTGGCCGGGCCTTCAGCCTCTCAGCCCCGAGGCTCTGGAACTCTATCCCCCAGTGCCTTCGCCGCCTCCTCCCTTTCCTCCTTCAAGGCCGGTCTCAAGACCTTTCTCTTCAACCGTGCCTTCAGCTCCCCTCTCGACTCTCTACCCCCTCCTCGCTCCCTCCCTTCCCTCCCCTCACCCTGACCATTTCCCCCCTGCTCGGGTCCCGACCCAACTGTCCAGTGCCTTGGGAGGGCCTCCCGACGTGAAAGGAGCTCTCTAAATGCAATCTTGTTGTTGGTGTTGTTGTTTGTCTTTTTGGATGAAACATAAAATAAATTGAACTTTTAATGTCAGAAAGAAGTCAGCAAACACACATCAGCCTCATTGGTTGTTGGTGGGAATCCTTTTTGAAGTGAGACTGAAAGTGGATGTGCAGTGGAGTCAACACTTGGGCGGTTAAAATAATACAGTAATAATAATAGTGTATTTGATATCTGTCACATCGAAACATCTCAAAGCACGTCACAGGGACTTGCGCTCGGTCCCTGGACTGAGAGGGAAAGTGACTGTTCTAATGACCTCCTGTATAACTGATTCCTGGGAGACCTGTCCCTCGGTTCACTCAGCTTGGGTTTAGGTTGTAGTTTCCAGTTATGGAGATTAGGCAACTTGGCACACGTTTGTATGATGGATTTCCACCTTGGGAAATGTGATGCATATGGTCGTGTAAATTATTGTACAAAGTGTGCCAGAGACGCCTAGTGGCTAAACAGAGTCCTGCAGCAACATGTGGCTAATGCAAGCCTTCAGTTCAAAATACCCAAACTGTGGACACACATCTCATGTTTTCAGAATAGTCATTCACTTCATGGCTGTTTGTGTGACGTTGCTGTGGGCAAATTGACAGAGGATACACTAGTAAAGGGAGGACTTGTCAAAATTTCCCCATGTACCCGTCAGACTATTATAATAAGAACATAAGAATTAGGAGCAGGAGTCGGCCATTCGGCCCCTCGAGCCTGTGTCCCGCCATTTGATAAGATCATGACTGATCTTCAGACCTCACTCTAATTACCCGCCCTATCCCCATATCCCCTAATCCCTCTGTTTTTAAAAATCTATCAGTCATAGCCTTGAAGATGTTCAAGGACTGAGCATCTACAGCCTTCTGGGGTAGTGAATTCCACAAGTTCACTACCCTCTGAGTGAGGAAATGTTTCCTCAACTCTGTTCTAAAAGGCTGACCCTTAATTTTCAGACTGTGACCCCTGGTTATAGATTCTCCCACCGGGGAAACAGACCCTCAGTGTCTACTTTATCAGCCCTTTAAGAATCTTATGTTTCAATAAGATCTCCCCTAATTCTTCTGTACTCTAGAGAATACAGCCCTAGTTTATTCAGCCTATCCTCATAGGTCATCCCAGGAACTAACCGAGTGAATCTACGCTGCACCCCCTCGAGGGCAAGTATGTCCTTTTTTAAATAAGGACCAAAACTGCACACAATACTCTCGGTGCGGTCTCACCAAAGCCCTATACAGTTGCAGCAAGACTTCCCTACTCTTGTACTCTAAACCTTTTGCAATGAACGCTAACATGCCGTTCGCCTTCTTAGTTGTTTGCTGCACCTGCAAACTAACTTTTTGAGACTGGTGTACAAGGACACTCAAATCCCTCTGCACACTTAACACGATCTAATCTCTCCCCCTCAGGAAAATAATCTGTTTTTCTATTTTTTCTACCTCGGTGAATAACTTCACACTTCCCCACATTAAATTCCATCTGTCACCTACTCGCCCACTCCCCGAGCCTATCTATATCCCATTGCAATCTTTTTGCATCATCCTCAGAGCTTACTCTCCCATCTAGTTTAGTGTCATCCGCGAATTTAGATACCTTACATTCAATGTCCTCGTCTGGATCATTGATGTAAATTGTAAATAGCTGAGGCCCAAGCACTGATCCTTGTGGCACTCCACTAGTCACATCCTGCCAATTCGAGAATGACCCGTTTATCCATACTCTCTGTTTTCTACCCATTAGCCACTCTTCAATCCATGCTAATATGTTCCCATTAATCCCGTGAGCCTTAACCTTGTGCAATAGCCTTTTGTGTGCACTTTGTCAAATGCCTTTTTAAAATCTAAATATACTACATCTACCGGTTCCCCCCCATCTAACCTGCTAGATACGTCCTCAAAAAACTCTAAAAGATTTGTTAAGCATGACTTCCCTTTTGTAAAGCCATGTTGACTCTGCCTAATCTTGGTATGGTCTTCCAGGAATCCCATAACGACATCTTTAATTAAGGACTCATAATAATGATAATAATCCTTGCATTTGATATAGTACCTATCACATTTTCGAGACGTCTCAAAGCGCTTCAAAGAATATACTGTAAAGTGAATTGACTGTATATTTGTGGGCGAAATGCGGCAGCCAATTGCCCACAGCAGAGTCCCACAAACAGTCGTGGATTGAGTGACCAATTTTTTTCTTTTTTGTTTCTTGAAGGATTATAATCAGGCGTTGGAGTAAGGAAACTTTCCCAAGGTTTCGTCCTGTTCCATTGTAGGAAAGTTACATCTAAGGAGCATCTTTTAGTTTCCCTGATGGCTCAGGCGGTTTATCCCTTCGTGGTGCTGAAAAAGAATCTAAAAAAACATGTATATAGATGTTGACTTTGGACAGGACTGGACATGGCTCTTACCCCTCGCGGACAAACAGCCTGGCTCCCTGTGACCCAAGATCAGATACGAGTGATAGGCACGGGCAGTTCATACGCGTTTTGTTGGCTTGTAAGTCAGAAATTCATTTCAGATCAACAATAGTTTGTGATGACAGAGGGTGTGGTTTGAATGCCATTGGGCTGCTGGTGACATCCGCGCCTTGTACAATATTTGGGAACAATCGGGTTGAACCACTTTGAATTTGGCTGCTCTGGAGTCGTTCGTTCTCGTGACCTGCAGCTGAGGCCTGGAATGGATGTGCCGAGTTTACTGAGGAGGATTGGAATATTTGGAACTAATTTTCTGTGCACAGAAGTGAATGGATTTTAAGGATTATTGTGTAATCTTCCAAATCTGTAAATATTTAATGTCTGTAAAGTGGCAGTAAACATGAGAGCTTCTCATCAAGGCTTTCCCTCCGAGACCTTTGCTCCCTCTTTGAGCTTTGCTTTGGGAGCACGCCTTGTGGGTGATTGTGTGGGTAAAGTTACTGCCACTCACCAGCACAATACAACATCAGAGGCTGGAATATTTGGTGGGCTTAGGTTTTGTGCCCGTGCTTTCATATTTTGATTGGGCCAAATTTTGGAATCATCTGAAATTTAGTCTTGAATTGGAAATTGGTTCCTAAGAAACTAGAAATCCAGCTTCCAAATTATGATTGAATTTCATAAAATTCTGATCATTATTAATTTTTAAGACAATGGTCTTGAGGCTAAGATCGTGAGCAGTTTGGGGCCTCGGAGATGCTCTGGAACCTTTGCATGTTTTATAACATTACTCAACAAGTTGATGTGTGTTTTTCTCCCAACAACAACAACAAGCAATCAGCACCTTGTTTTTTCTCTTTCGTTCTGTAGGGTTTCTTCAGGAGAAGTATTCAGAAGAACATGGTGTACACCTGCCATAGAGACAAGAACTGCATCATCAACAAAGTCACACGCAATCGATGCCAGTACTGCCGGCTACAGAGGTGCCTGGAAGTGGGGATGTCTAAGGAATGTGAGTCCACACACTGAGCTATGTGGCTGCTTAATGTGAAGTGTGTTACATGGCGTCCAATCTGTTTCCACTCGTCTAGTTCCCGGTATTAGCCACCGTACTGCGCTGTACTGAACTGCACTGTACTACACTGCACTGTACTGAACTGTACTGTGTACTGCACTGTGCTGCTATGTACTGTATGGCACTGTACTGTACTGCTGAGAATCGCTTTCCTCCTAAAAGTGAATATTGTGTAAAAGGAGAGGTTTATAAAGCCTGCGCAGTGGAGATCAAGGCCCCAAGGAGATCAGGGAGCTAACTAACCCTGAGTGAATATATTTTGTTTATGTCAGATTGGTACCCAGTAGGAACTTTGGGGTTGCTTTGCGCTGATTGCTAAAGGTATCAATTTTCATTAAAAAGACACTGAAAAGCACTGCTGTGAGTGACCAGTTAATAACAAAGCCCACAAGCTCAGGGTGTTGGCCTTCACTTGGACACAACCACTCCACGGCAATATGAATGGCAGCTGTGAAGAAGTACTAGTACTTTCTATCCAGAGTGTAGCAGTGGGTGAGGATAGGAAGAAGAATATAAAACACAAGTTCCCTGGTGGCAGAGTTTGTAAAGCCACGGCTCAGTGTGAAACGCAGCCACACAACACAAGGTCTCAGTGGACTGTGGAGAGTCTCTAGCCAGCCTTACATTAAGGGCAGAACAGCTGGCCTCAGAGAGACACTCTGCTTCTCTTCACACTAACACCTGGGGAACTTTAGTGTCCACCAAACACCAAAATAGGCAGAGGATCTCACATTTAATATTTTAATGTTCCAAACCATCCAGTGCTCTCTCAGTGCAGTGACATGTTAGCCTAGGTTATGAGCTCAAGTGCTGCTGCTGGTGGGAAAGAAGAAATGTTCCCTGAATCTTACTGAAGAATTGGAAGTCTTTTCCTGATCAGTTCAGATCCCCAATAATCCCTACAGCTGAGGGGAGAGTAGCCTGATTACTTTGCTTTGACTGTAGTTTGTTCCCAATTCTGGACTAGCATTGTGTTGCCCTTGATTTGCACATAAAATGTGTTGTGGTTTGTTTACGAAGCTGTGAATTCCTCTTAATAAGGAACGGCTAAGAAGTTTGCATTAGGACAATCACTAGGAATGGCAGCTGGCCTCCTACCTGCTATTTATAACTGCCTATTTACCTGTGCTGATTTGTGACAAATTGCAACACGTTGCTGAAAGAAATCCAAAATCAGATTCAGACTTTCTCAAAGGTCAAATGAAAACTTTAACAGAAACATGAAAGAAATGAAGGTGACTGCTCTCCTTCTTAGTGGCCTGACATCATCTTTAATACACATAACCCTGCCTGCTGATTGCTCAGTGACTTACCCAGCGAGTAAATGTGAGCTTTACAGACCAGCAAGATCACTGTTTGGTATATGGTTTGTGACAGGTTAAGATCATTTCACATGGACAACATTTGGGCTGCAACTACAAGAGTTCAAGATCCTTGTCCTTGCCTTCAAGGTCCTCCACGGCCTTGCCCCTCCCCACCTCTGCGACCTGCTGACCAATCTGTCCGCTCCCTCCGCTGAGCAGGCTCTGTCCTGCTTCACGTCCCCCGCCCGACCCGATCCACCATCGGCAGTCGGGCCTTCAGCCTCTTTGCCCCCATCTTATGGAACTCCATCCCATAGTCCCTTTGCCTCGCTCCCTCCCTTGCCTCCTTCAAGGAGCATCTCAAGACCCTCCTCTTCGACCGTGCTCTCCACCCTCCCCAATCCTGACCCCAGGCTCGGGTCCAAATCCCTGACTGTCCAACACCTTGGGACATCCTCCCGACATGAAAAGCACTGTACAAATGTAATTTTGTATTGTACAATTTAACTCAGCAATCTAGGCTAGGGAGGAGAAAATTATTAAGGTTCCTGCTTCCAATTCCTGTCCAGTGCCCTTTTCTCCCATCTTCTGTGTGGACTTGGGTAATGAAAGATTCTGGCTCAATCCATATCATATAGCTGCTGACACTCATATACACAAGGGCCATTTTAACAAGAGGGTCCCCCTGAAATCTTTGAGTCCTAAAGAGAATCAAACACCTTCAGAACTGCAGAGAGGGGCGAAATTACATGTAATGTTTTACAGAAGAAGACAGTTTGGAGACAGATTAAGCTCGTACTGATGGCCTCTGCTTCTCTTTAGGTCCCTGAATGAAAGATTCTCTGAGAAGTGCAGAGGTCAGGGTACACGCTGAGCATTCCTCAGATTAAATCTTCAATGAAAACTTGGAATAGCTTCAGAATGAACGGAAAATGTTTTAGCAGCTTGGCATCTTTGCAACAGAATGAAAATAACATTAGTCTATCTATTGACAGAGTTTTCCTCTGTTTGCTCTGTCTCGCTTTACTCTCTCCATAGACAGAGCACCTCATTCTTTTGCTCTATCTCTCTACTCTATCTGTAAGGCACTGAAGCATAGCACAGAGGCTGTGCTTTCAACAGTTTACTATTCTGTTGGGGATAATTTCGACAAATGCCTTTTGCATATTTAGCGTGTCAGAGTGGAAGATGATCTTAAACCTAGGTCACAGACACACCAAGGTACATATGGGGCTGATTAACTGGATGTGACATCTTGACTTATTGTCAGAAATAATCAAGCAAACTTTAATCTAATGAATTTTGTAACTGCCTCTGTCCCTAAAGGGAGCCTTTGTCTTATAAGTGAAGTAACCTGCGCGTGTGCGTCTGTTTGCATAGATACTGTGTACAGTGGTTAGGGTCCATTCAGACCACTTTCTAATAGCACTTACGCATTGTAACTTGACATCATTTGATTGGTGGTGTCAATGTGCAGGTTCTCAGAAAACTCACACACCTTCGTGCTTCAGATCATGTCGCTCTTCAAAACGAGTCATCACATGTCAAACAAGTATTTGTTATTAGAGCATATCAGGAGTTGAGCCACTCTTCTGTGTACATTCTGTAACCTTGGTGATGTAGATGTAGGGATTAGATGTGAGATCAGAAAATATTTCTTCACATACAAAGGTTTGTGACAATGTGGAATGCATGGACTGGGTGTGTAATCACTTGGGATGTTTAAAAGCTAAATAGATCCTTGGGGACTGAGGTTATAAGAGATATGGAAAAGAAAACATGAAAATCCATGATCTAGTAAAGTGACTGAGTAGACTGGATGGGCTGAATGGCTTCCTCTTGTTGCTGTATTACATATTACCAACAACAGTCAGCTAAGATTGTTTCACCCTGTTTTATTGCCTGTTGAATTTGAAGCATATCTGGGAGTGTCTGAGGTGTTTTCTGTCAGTGCCAAAGCAAATAATCACTGCATATTTACTAAAGTTGTAGACCCAAGATTTGGACAGTTGCTGGGTGTGGTGGTTAATGTGGGTCAGTGGGCGAGGGAGACCTGTCGTGGTCAGCTCCACACAGTGCCAAGGGAAGAGAAGAACTCAGCTCAAAGCTTCAGGGCAATTTACAGTGCTTAGTTATGAGGCAAGGTGGTTGGTGTTAGAAGGAGAGTTTGGATAGAAGAATACTATTTGTACAGTCTAGATGCAGTTCTCTTCAGTTATTATAACAGTGATGATAATAATAATCCTTGCATTTGATATAGCGCCTTACCACATCTTCGAGACGTCTCAAAGCGCTTCACACAATAAACTGTAAAATGAATTGACTGTATATTTGTGGGCGAAACGCGGCAGCCAATTGCACACAGCAGCGTCCCACAAACAGCGTGGGTTGAAGTGACCAATTTTATTTAAGGAATTATTATCCCTGGAAAAGCGATCCGCCAATCGATTTAATAACCAGGTTCCTACTTACTGCTGGTCAACAGAGGCATGTGGAGTAAGGAAACTTGCCCAACATTATCGCAGGCAGACAAGCTGTTGGGGGCAGGAGAGTAGATCGATGCCATTCCTCCAGACTTAGGACAAAGCGAGGGAAGCTGGACATGTGTTTGCTTGGCTCGGTTGGTAACATTCTTACCTCTCGGCAGAAGGTCATGGGTTCAAGCCTGTCATCCGGACTTGAGCTGACAGTCCAGTGAGTGCATCCCCGGGGAGCACTGGGACAACCTTCAGATGGGACATGTCTTATGTGAGATGTGAAAAGTCCCAAGACAATGTTCAAGAAGAGTTCGTCAGCTTACTTTTTGCAAACTGATCTTGGGCTGAAAGCAGAATCGATGAATCCCTGGCAACAGTGCACTTAACCACTAGCACATTAACACTTGTTGGACACATATAGACCAGCAGATGCCTGAACGAGTGCTAGGGTTTAGCCCAGTCCTGCAGGTTCATGTTCCATCATAAATCGCAAGAGCAGAGCTGCATTACATTTTCGAAGCACCTCAGCCCCTGAACTTGAGTTCCCAAAACTGTTTTGGTCCATGTGCTGTTTCATGTTCTATACAATTCAATCCTTCTGGGACATGGGTGGACATGTGCCAAAATGGACTCAGTCTCTGCCCACTATATACTGTCTCTTATATAGTGCCCTAGCACCTGCCTGTCATCTCAGGTCTCCAATCCTCTACTCGGCTATCTCAGGCTTGCTGCACGTCCTCCACCTTTTCTGTGCCACCTTTAGAGTCCTGGAGCTCAGTGGTTAGAGCACTCGCTTTGCAAGCGAGAGACCTGAGTTCAATTCCAGGTAGAGGGCGAAACCTCGGGCAAGTTTCCTTACTCCACACAGAGCCTAATAATAATCCCTCCAAAACCCAAAACAATAATAAATTGGTCATTTTCAATCTATGACTGTTTGTGGGACATTGCTGTGCACAATTGGCTGCCGCGTTCGCCCACAAATATACAGTCAATTCACTTTACAGTGTGTTCTGTGAAGCGCTTTGGGACGTCCTCCCGACGTGAAAAACGCTATATCAAATGCAAGGATTATTTATTATTTAAATGTTGGGCAAGTTTCCTTACTCCACACGCCTGTTTACCTAGCAGTTGGTAGGAACCTGGTTGTTAGTCGATTGGTGGATCACTTTTCCAGGGGTAAATTATTCCTTCAAACAAAAGAATAATTTGGTCACTTCAATCCACGACTGTTTGTGGGACACTGCTGTGTTTCGACCCACAAAATATACAGTCAATTCACTTTACAGTCTATTCCGTGAAGCGCTTTGAGATGTCTCGAAGACGTGATGAGGCGCCGTATCAAATGCAAGGATTATTATTATTATTGTTGTTGGCTGATCCTTCAGATTCTACACCTCTAATGTCTCGCTCTTCCTCCCCCTCCCAAGTACCTCTCTGTTACTCTCTTCCACGCCTATGGTCACCTCCCTCATCCCTTCGTCTTTGCTTAGTAAAGTGCTCAGAGACACTATCCCAAGAGAAGGTTTTGATCTAAATGCTGGTTTCATCTTTGCAAAGGTGTTTGCGTAATAACTGTTGCCATTGAAAGAGTAATTTAGGCGGAAAGTTTGGAAATGTAATTTATCTGCGTTGCAAACCAGTTTTTCAGGACACGTGCTGTGTAGAGCTGCTGAGTGTGATTTACAAAGACTCTCTCTTACAAGGATTTATCGATCAGATAAATTGGTCATTCACTTCATGGCTGTTTGAGGGATTTTGCTATACATATAATGGCTGTGTTTACCCACAAAATACATAAATATTTGAAGGTCCTGGCCAACAATCTCCACCACAGATAATGTGAAAAGTGGTCAGTCACGCCATGACCGTTTATGGGATGTTGCTGTGTGCGATTTGACTGCTGCAATTACCTGCAAAATACACAGTTTATATCTTGTGAAGAGCTTTGAGATGTCCATCCTCCCAATGTGAAAGGCAAGGGCAGAGAAATGGAGGAAGTGGGATGGGAATGTCTATTCCTCGTTATCAAAGTAAGTATTATAATTCTAGGATCAAGTTCTTATTTCCCACCCTGTGATCTCCCAGACCCAGGCTTGCCAACAGGAGAAACTAGCACGTGGAGAAAGTTTCCCTAGAACTGAGGAGAAAAGGTCTCCTTGTCTCTTGGCTGTGAGAGAACCTGGGACTCTAAGAGCAATCACCTGTTGCAATCTTTCTCCGGGTTAAGTTGTTGGAGACTTTTTTATTGCAGCAATTCTTGCACCGGGACATTTGTTTCATTTTCTCCGATACAGAAACAACGGAACATATTATGCTATACACATAAGAATAACTCAGGTTTATTGAGGGGCTCGGAGAGACAGTTAGCTACTCTTGACACTTGTACAAATAAATAGGGGAGGGTGTCTTTACGTGTGCTCCTGTGATTTCATTTAATCTCAGTTGCCAGGTCCTGTGATTTCATTTAATCTCAGTTGCCAGGTAAGCAAAATGTTCAGTCATTGTGAACAGGTTTATTTTGTTTTCTTTGTGACCTTTTGGGCAAATTTGCTGCGCGCCCCAAGCTGCCCACGGGAGGCAGGGGACCTTCAGGAGGGTTAGTTCCCTGGGTTAGGATCCAGCCTGAGACAAACCGGCTAAAATCTAAACATGGCCAGACTGTGCAGCGAATCTGTCTCTGAGGAGTGGAAAAAATGACATGGCAAAGAGGTTATTTGCTTAAGAGGAATTACCGTATTAGTCCAAGATGATAGATCTATCTGTACAGTTATACCCTTGAAGATATAAGATCAGGCTTCACTCGTTATCGGTCAATTTAATTTGATCTTTGCGATGATTGAGGAGATGGCGCAGCTGCAATTTTCTCTTCCTAAATTTTCTGTTCTTTTTCCCTCCCTGTTATTGAATTCACACAGCAGGCATGAGTGATTATATGCGCAGCCTAATAGTTTAGTAATGAGCTCACTCCTTTGTGCGCTGCTCTCAGCTCTGCCTCTAGTTTTTCAGTTATAATAATAATGAGGTGCACCAGGTTCCTGCTTCATTACATTTCTCAGCCTCGTATCAGCCTCCCATTGTCTGGCCGAGCCCGCCTTATGAACTGAACAAGCTTTTGTCATCTTTTTATCTAAAAGAAACATTTGCAGACGGGTGTAGGTGCCGCCCAGTGTGGAGCGGAGCAGCAGGTTTGCGCTGAGTTAGAGGTGAGGGTTGGGGCAGTAGTTTGTGTCCAGTTGCCTCGGGCTTTGATCAGTCTGGACTTCCTGTTCCTGATCTCTATCCAGAAACCGTCAGGTCTGGGCAGCAGTGGTCGGCTGAGATTCCATGACATTATATCTAGTGACTTTGACGTTGTGCGCTTATAATGTGCTGATTGTCAACATCTCCACCTTCAGCACCAACTTGCATGTCAGCCCCTCTGTTTAGCACAGACTGTGAATGGCCGGCCGACACTCAATATCAAGGCTCACACAAGGAATAATGGTCACTTGGGCAAGGCCCATAGAGACGTGGAGAACAAAAAAGGACCCAAATGCCTTCTAGAGAGAAGAAGGGCAAGGAAGAGAATTGGTCGAGGAATAGACATTCCCATCCCACTTCCTCCATTTCTCTGCCTTTGCCCACTGCAGACCTTACTGAAGCCCAGTTGACAGTTTTGCAGATGGGTCTGAGCCTAAACATTGAGTCTATAGCAGGCCATACAAGGCAGTCACCACTGGGCACAACACTGTCCTTACCTGATATCACACAATGCACAGGATACAAGTGAGGAGCAGGATCACCATGTCTGATTAATTGTCTCTCTCTCCCCCCAGCCCCGCCACCCCCCACCCCCCCCCCAGAGCCCTGAGATTTATTATAACGTTTCTGCTGCTACAGCTGACATCAGACAAGTCAGTCATTGAGGTCTGTGAATCAAACATCAGGCAAGTCAGTCAGTGAGTCTGTGCTGTTCAATTTTACACTGGATACTGGCGTTACTAATTGAGCTGATAGGAGACGCCTGGATCTTGTGCTCTCTTATGTGTAAGAGAATTTCAGTCGTGAACATGATTTGGGCTTTCTATAGAGATGTTCAGATCTAACACACCTAGGATCTAGTGTTGCTCTTGATGTTATTAAAGTGTCTAAAATTATCTATTGGTCTTTTTATCCTTCCTGTCCACCACCCTTTGCCTTTTTGTAGGTCAGTGGAGACCTCGACCGACTCCACTGGCTTCCCATCACATAGGAGATACAGTTCAAGATCCTGGTACTCACCTTCAAAGCTCTCCATGGCCTTAATTCCCCCACCTCTGCAACCTTCTAATCGCCTACCAAATTGTTCCCTCCCTCCACTGAGCGGGCTCCGGCCTGCTTCACGTCCCCTGCCTCGCCCACCCCACCATTGGCAGGCGGGCCTTCAGCCACTCTGCCCCACCCTCTGGAATGCCATCCCGCAGTCCCTCTGCATCGCCCCCTCCCTTGCTTCCTTCAAGACCCATCTCAAGACCCTCCTTTTCAACCGTGCCTTCGATCATCCTGCTTTCCCCCATTGCCCTCCACCCTCCCCAATTCCGACCCCCAGCTCGGATCCGAAACACTGATTGTATAGTGCCTTGGGACGTCTTCCCGACGTAAAAGGCACTTTACCAATGTAATTTTGTTGTCGCTGATCACTACAAGACCCAAGAGAGAAACTAGTTCAGAGTTGTCTCCACTGAAGAAACATTTAAGAACAAAAAAACAACGGCTCATAACCAACACTGCATCATTCTCTCTCTCTTTCCAGCTGTGCGGAATGACAGGAATAAGAAGAAGAAGGAGGTTCCCAAGCAGGAGTGTTCAGAGAGCTACACAATCACACCCGAGATCGAGGACCTCATAGAGAAAGTCCGCAAGGCCCATCAGGAAACCTTCCCAGCATTGTGTCAGCTCGGCAAATACACAACTGTAAGTGTTTACCTCCAATATACCACTGGAGCACGAATGTCCAATGGTGTAGCACCATCTTGTGGTACTATACCCATGTTACACAGTATTCTGGAGCTAGTGTCATGTATTACTGTCCCAATGTTGTACACTTCTGTAGTTCAATGTCAGAGCACTCAGTGTTATTGTTTCCTGTAGTACCAGTACCTCTGTAAGACTGTTGTGCCACACTATCAATACTGTTTAAATCTATTAACAATGCTATGTTAAATACATTCCTGTAAGTACAATATTAACACACTGTGAGACACAAGCACCCGACTGTGAATGGTACACAGTTAGCTCCACTACTGAGTGACAGCTTTAAGCCATCACTGGGCATGCTGGGCAGTTTGTTACTGTAAGGACAAACAGTGTCAGCCATCCCTTACCCTCGTGTTATCACCTATAAACCTAGGAAATCCAAATTTAATAACAAACAATCAAGTTAAATCATGAGCTTGCGTGTGGTGTGGTTAGCTGCTGTTCTGTGTACTGGCCAAGGTGGAAGCTTCCCTCTCCAGTGGGCAGCTCATACCCGTATTGTGTATCTGAGCAGTGAGAACAATTGAGCACAAATGTCCCAGGTACAACAAGAGTCACTTCAGAGACAAAATTACAGCAGTCATTTGCATAAGTTTAGGGGAATAAAGAACCTGACTATGCTACTGCCATCCTATTACTGCTACCTGCCGTATATACCATATATAGACACTTTGCACTATCCTGGCCAATGTGGACTGGAAGGCAATGGCCATCATGAGTGGTTTATCACAGAGTGCGTGTGATGGTGTGGGTGTGTGTGTGTATGTGTGTAGCAGTCTTTAGTTATTGTCAGACTCATTGGCATTTATGTACAACGTAATAATTAGCACGTTGCAATTTTCATCCTTTACATACCGTAGTAAAACTGAAAATAGAAATGGGATGTTTACCCCTGTAGGCAATGGGGCTCTGCTTTGTGACAGGTTTCTTCAATTCAGCCTGTCTAATTCAATACCAATGTAAACCACACACTTTGTCAGCAGCTGCTGTCATTTATTTTATTCCCTAATCCTTTGTGTCAAGTTATCATGTATTACATTTTTAGCTTTACATTCCTCCCTCCATTCCCTCTGTCCTAGACGGGCTTCCAAAGATGGCATATTTGAAGGTCAGTGTCTTACGCATGGAAGAAACTCAACTACATTAAGCACTTTATATTTTGCTTGCTCGCAGTTACTGCCAAACCAAGCAGAAACGAGCATTCCATTAAAGCTGATCCTTAAACGATGTGGCATCTATTTAGGCTGCGCTGTCCTTGATCACATCTACAAGTTAAGAAGTGACAGCAAAGATTTTTTCTGGGGAATGGGGAGAAAGGAAAGTAGATGAGCTGGACAAGGCGGAGGGCATTGGGTTGGAACTCTTTGCGTGCCGAAAATGGTTACAAAAGATGAAAACGCCAATTCTCCTTGTCAGTTCAACCGTTGGTAACTGTAAGCCACTGGTGTGGGGCTGCCACAGTCCCTCCCTGGCTGCTTCCTCCCACAAGCCTCAATGCAGCTGTTCAGAGTGTGGCAAGTGGCACGTCTCAATTGAACGAGAGGCGACTGAGCACTTTCCCACAATGTGGTATGTGAGACAATAGCACTGTTCAGTGCTTGAGCTAAAGATATGGGGCCCAGTTAATCCTTCAGGGGGTAAAAGCAGTAACAGGCAGCCGAGCCCTGGGTGTAAAGATCTGATTTCACTGAACTCAGGACAAAATATTTTGTAAATGATATCCTAGTGGGAAGAGAGCAACTACTCTTCAGCCATCTTCAGTCCCCACTTGAGCACTACACAAGGTTCATGCAAGATTCCCTTAGGTAAATATTGCAAAATGAAGGGTCTGAAAGAGACATGTAATTACTCAGATAATATGGTAGATAATAATAATAATAATTCTTGCATCTGATAATAATAATATAATAATAATAATCCTTGCATTTGATATAGCGCTTTTCACGTCGGGAGGACGTCCCAAAGCGCTTCACAGAACACACTGTAAAGTGAATTGACTGTATATTTGTGGGCGAACGCGGCAGCCAATTGCGCACAGCAATGTCCCACAAACGGTCGTAGATTGAAAATGACCAATTTATTATTGTTTTTGGTTTTTTGGAGGGATTATTATTAGGCTCTGTGTGGACTAAGGAAACTTGCCCAAGGTTTCGCCCTCTGCCTGGAATTGAACTCAGGTCTCTCACTTGCAAAGCGAGTGCTCTAACCACTGAGCTACAGGACTCCACAGATATAGTGCCTCATCACATCTTCGAGACATCTCAGAGTGTCTCCACAAACAGTCGTCGATTGAGTGACCATATTATTACTAGGTGTCACCAATCTGCCTTCACAGATAGTTTTGTAGGTTTGTTTGAAACAAAAACATATATGTTTACAGAAGATCTGGGCACTCACTAAATCCCTGTTGTGACCCAACAGTTGTGACTACGCTGCTCTCCTGCTAGCTGTACTGTCAAGCTCCAGTCAGATGTTGGTTCTCAGCCCCACATGGCCAGTGGTTGTGGGGGGGCAGTTCTGCGACCTCTGTGCTTCTGCTGTTTGATCTTTCTGGCCAGTGCAGTAGCAAAGAATTGAGCCTAAGATGTTTGCTATAAAATATCTTGGTGCTATCAGTCGAAAGGGCAATGGTATGAAGTTTATTGGCATCTGAGCAATTACATGTCTCTTTCAGACCCTTCATTGTGCAATATTTACCTAAGGGAATCTTACATGAACCTTGTGTAGTGATAATATGGCAGCAAAGTGTTGGTTCAGTGGGAAAAAAGAATTAGGTTTGACTATGATTGACAGTGGTATTCCATCGCCGTGATCGGGGGGAAAATCCCCTTCAGGAGAGCAGGTGGGGGAAAGAGGAGAGGGGGGACAAGCAGTAGTAATGCGCTGAGCGAGCCCGAAACTCAAACTTTGCTAATCTGTCAGACAAGCCTTGTGTCATGAGGTGCTGAATTATCTCCTGCTAGTTCACAAACACTTCAGAAACTGTAAACAGCAAAACCTTTACTTTCTGTCTGAACCAGAACCACATATGATACACGTTTGCCATTGACACTCTGAAGAATACGGAGACAACAACTTAAAGGCCAGTCAGTCGGCCTTCACTGGCTGCTGGAGACAGCACTCATTATAATAATAATTCTAATATTCTTTGCATTTGATACAGCGCCTTATCACGTCTGCTAGACGTCTCAAAGTGCTTCACACAATGTTTATTTACTGTAAAATGAATTAACTATATATTTGTAGGTGAAACATGGCAGCCAATTTTGCACACAGCAGTGTCCCACAAACAGTTGTGGATTGAGTGACCAATTTATTATTATTTTTTTTTGAAGGAATTATTACTCACTAAAAAATGTATGTCAATCGACTAACAACCGGGTTCCTACTGGCTGCTGGTAAACAGAGGTGCGTGGCGTGAGGAAACTTGCCCAACGTTTTGCCCTGCCCGGGAATCAAATCCAGGTGTCTCACTTGTGAGGCGACTGCCCTGACCACTGAGCTACAGGACTGCACAGTGGAGTGAGGGGAACAGAACGCACAATGCAGTCAGCAGCACCTTGCCTGGGCTTTGCTGTTCAGGAAATCAGAGTGACAGTCAGTACTAACAGAAGCCAAAGCAGTGGATCCACATGAAGTTAATATATAAAATGACTTCAGGATCCAGCTTTGTGTTTGAGAATTGAGGACAGCAGTGTGTCTAATAATAATAATCCTTGCATTTGATATAGCGCTTTTCACGTCGGGAGGACGTCCCAAAGCGCTTCACAGAACACACTGTAAAGTGAATTGACTGTATATTTGTGGGCGAACGCGGCAGCCAATTGCGCACAGCAATGTCCCACAAACAGTCGTAGATTGAAAATGGCCAATTTATTATTGTTTTTGGTTTTTGGAGGGATTATTATCCCCAATCAGCACAGTTTTCATTGCTGACTACAGTCAATATGACTAATACTCACTTACAGATTCTGTTGTGAAAAGTAAATGATGTGGCTATTTGGGAAATTGCAGTGTGAAATTGCCAGTTCCTATATTAATGATGTGCTCCTTCCCTTGCAGAATAACAGTGCTGAGCAGAGGGTAACATTAGATATCGATCTCTGGGACAAGTTCAGTGAACTCTCGACAAAGTGTATTATTAAGACAGTCGAGTTTGCCAAACACCTGCCTGGATTCACCACTCTGACCATCGCTGACCAAATCACCCTCCTCAAAGCTGCCTGTCTGGACATCTTGGTGAGTGAAGCTTCATCCTTCTTATAACTGTTAGATAATAATAATAATAATAGCAATAATAATAATAACAACAATAATAACAACAATAATAATATTCCTCGCATTGATATATCAACTATCGAGAATACTTCCTCATGACAGTGGCCAATATACCTCCATTCTCTGGGACTCCTGTCCAAATCCCTCCACCTCCCTCTGTCCCTCCCTCTTGCTATAAGTTCAGGTTGTTGTGTTCGACAGTTATGATGACAGTTTGATGCGCAGTTGGATAATCTGACTGTCTCTGAAACTGGGCTGTAGGTCCAAATGCAGAACATTGCTTCCTGTTTAAACTATTGAACTAGAACTAAGATTCTCTTGGAACTAGGGACATCCTGCAGCCAAACAACAGTCCTTTCCCCAGTTTTCCTCACCGAATAGCAGGTCCCCTGTATAAGTTTGTTGTGTTTAGAACCAGGAGATACAAACTGATGCATAAAGAGAGGGAGTTGATGCGAATATTTCAGATACAGAGGAAGAAGTTGTGTTTTTGTGGGATCCTATAGTGTCAAAACAATTTAAACTGCTTCCCATTAATTATTGTCCAGCGTAGTGATTGTTTTAGTAAAACCATTTTGCGCACAGTCCTGGCCTGCACACGGTCCTGAAAAGCTTGACCGATTTCTCTGGAGGATTGTTGACCAGGAAAATCACTTCTCAGTTTGTATAATGTCATAGGAGGTTAACATCCACCTGAAGCACAGACAGACTCGGGTTGTCTCTCACTGAATGGCCCGGGTGATTGTACATCCTATAAACTAGGCTAAAGCAAAGCAAAAAGTGGGTGGTTTTTGAGAGAGAAACATTGGCCAGGACAATGCATTGACTGTCTCTCATTCTTCACTCAGATCCTGCGAATCTGTACCAGGTATACCCCCGACCAGGACACCATGACCTTCTCTGATGGCCTTACCCTCAACAGAACACAGATGCATAATGCTGGCTTTGGCCCTCTCACAGACCTGGTGTTCGCCTTTGCCAATCAGCTACTGCCTCTGGAGATGGACGATGCAGAGACAGGACTCCTCAGCGCCATCTGTCTCATCTGTGGAGGTGAGAGAGAGAAGTTTCTAGGTCTTGTTTTAGTAAACACGGTGCCAGCCATTTGACAAATTGATAGAATGGTGTAGCTCAGAAACAGGCCATTCAGCCCAGCAGGTCTGCGCTGGATTTACCTCTGAGCTGCTGTCTGGGGTGAAGGGTGATATGCAAGTTGTTGTTGCTGCTGTCTGGATTATAAAACTTTCCTGTCTCATCATTTGTGTTAATTCATCAGCTCAATGTTAGGTTTGATCCTACAATGAATTAACCTTGGATTTAGATAGACTGCAGTGAGGGAAATAACAATCAGTATGAACCCATAAAAGTCACAAGTCACAAGGTTGATTGGGATGAAGGAGGCCCTTTGGCCCATCTGATCTCATCCTTCAAGAGCATCACTGCAGATCCCTGTACAATGAAGCCTCCTCTCAGACTAGAGACACGGAATATTGACACGCCAAGATCGGTTGACTGTTCTCCCAGTGATGTGACAAAGGGAACAGACACCTACTGGGGAGGAGAATAAATATTTCAAATATAATATTTAAAATGCAATACAATATTGCTTAGCAGTAACCTTTAGAAACTGTGTGATAGCATTGTCCTACCTCGAATCCATTCATGGAAAATTGATAAAGGAACAAGCTTTTCCTCTTACCAACCAAAACCAAATTCCGGGAATATGAGTTTGACTCAACTCCCCAGCCTGCAGGCTGCAGAATCACTTGATCGGTGAAGTGATTAATGGAGACATGGACAGTGGATCTAAGTAAATATTAAATAACGTTTGCTATGACGTGGATTAATCTGAGGAATACTTTCAGGCCACATTTCCCACCCTTACATCTTACATATCTGTAGTCCCAACTAACGCTGGGATCGTCTGAAAAGGTTACAGCCGTCGACAGAGAGAGAGAGAGGGTCGAGCAAAGTCTGTTCTGAGGAGCCCAACCCATATTTCAAACCAATTTTGGGAGCAAATATTGTGACTGTCCTTTTGTCTAGAATCAGTCACCATGTCCCTGTCGCTCTGGAATTCTCTGCCAAAATCTCTCTCTCCCCCCCCACTCCCTCCTCACCCTCCATCCCTCCCTCCCTGATTGCTGCTGCTTGCCTTTTCCTTACCTTTGTAAGACTCTTAAAATCTCGACCTGGGTCAGGCTTTTTCTCAACGTCGACAAAGGGCTTTGAGACGTCTTGAAGATGTGATAAGGCACTGTATCAAATACAAGGATTATTATTATTACTACTACTGTTATATCTGTGAAGGTTTGGGACCTACAGGGAGGGGCAGTAGTTGTTGATCTGTGTTGCAGAAGGAAGGAAGGATGTAACAGCACAGATAAGAAGTTTTAATTTACAATCACTTGTTTTTACATGACTCACTTGTAACCTAAGCAATTGTAATCTGCCTCCTGTTCGGTTTATAAAACCTCACTCTCACAAGCTGCTCTGATGGCTCAGTGGAGAAATGTGTTGTGCGATGTGATACTGAGATAAAGTGTGGTCACAGGGTGCAGACCTGCTCTGTGCTGTCCAGCACCTTGGGACATTCTCCCGACATAAAAGCCGCTATACGCACGTCATGTGTTGTTTTGCCTGGGATACGAAGGGGAGGAACCAGTGACAGTGACATGCTTGCTATTGCCACCTAATGGCTGATGCAGGAAAGTGCAGTTGAGCAAATGAGGGGAAGATCAGACGGGGGTGATATAACTTTGGCTCTGGCTCTTACCCCCCTCCCCTCTATTATCTCACTAGTTAGGCTCAGGCTATCCCTTGATGACTGTTTAGTAAATTCCAGCCTTACCTCCCAGCTCGAGCCAGGGGTGGAGGGGGAGTAGCCCCTGATGGCAGCCAGTGAGTGAGCTAAAGCTACACAGGCAGCAGGTCAGGCAAGACCTGAAATACACAGAGGGCCTTAGGGAAAATCCTCATTGTATTCAGATTTAACTGTAAATCCAGGAAATTGTTCCAAACACTTTTTAGGCTGAAAAGGGAGAACTGAGTGATGAGGTGGTCCTCAGCCACTGTCCAGTGAGGCATCCACTGCAACAACAACAACTTGCATTTACACCGCGCCCCTCATTTGGGGTAGCATCACAGAGCACTTGACAATGGTGGAGTCTAAAACCGAGCCAGGGGGAGAGGGAGGGGGGAGGTGACCATAAATACAATCAAAAAGGAAGGTCTTTAGGTGGGATTTAAAAGTGGGGAGGGAGGGGACAAAGTGGAGGGATTGAGGGAGAGAGTTCCAGTGTTTTGGTGTGTAGTGACTGATGGCACGGCCACCGATGGTGGAGCTGAGGGGAAGAGGGACAAACAGGAGGCCGGAGCCAACGCCTTTCCACAAAGCTGCGTGGAAGAGGCAGTAAACGGGCAGACAACATGTTTAGTTGTAGAGAAATCGGGTCTTTTTCACTGGTCACTAACCATGTTGGGAAAGTCCATGGTCAGAGAAGTGACCAGAGATTATTGGAAGTGGCTGCCGGTCGGGAATTTTAAAGTCCATTTTGTACGAGTTGACTGATTGTTAGAGACAGTGACTTGTTTTCTCAGTAAATCCTGTCACTTTTCCATGTTTAAAATAGCAAGTACAGTATTGCAGCTTCTCGTGCCCCCCAGCGGCCATCTGCAGGATTTCTCTGGGCTTGAAGAGAAACATGTTCCATGTGAATGAAGCGAGTGAAGTCCTGAAGTTACACAGAGTTGGTGCAGAGACATTTGTCATTTGTCTGATTTAAACCAGTAAAGAGGAAAGCTGCATTTGTAGCCCAAGGGAGATTTTTTTTAACCCTTTGCTCTATTTTACATATGCACTGTGTTACCAGAATCAGACCTGTATTGTGGGGTCCTATAGCTCAGTGCTTAGAACAGTCACCTCGTAAGTGAGACCGGGGTTTGATTCCTGGGGGCGAAACGTTGGGCACGTTTTCTTACACTCCTCTGTTTACCAGCAGTAAATAGGAACCCGCTTGTTAGTCGATTGGCAGGTCACTTTTCTGGGGGGAATAATTCCTTCAAAAAAAATAATAAACTGGTCACTTCAATCCACAACTGTTTGGGGGTAACTCCTGTGCGTAATTGGCTGCCGCATTTGGCCCACAAAATTTACAGTCAATTAACTTTTTACAGTATATTTTGTGAAGGCTTTGAGACATCTCAAAGACGTGATGAGGCGTTATATCAAATGCAAGGCTTATTATTATTGTTACCTAATTCCTAATAAAACAGGATTATTATTATTATTAGACAAGAAAGAAAGGATTTTGCTCTTTACTCTGGACTTTATCTGAGCAAAAGAATAATGACTTTTTGTCACTGTTTAAAATTGGGATGATCTGGGTCCTGGCTCTGAGTCTTCTCTGTCTCTGGCTTTGCTGACGTTGTGTCTGCAAACTTGTGCTCTGGGATTTTGAATCCGCTAAGGACAGACACAGACAGACGAAGCCTGCCTGACTGATGGCTGCTTTAGTCAAGGGCATTGTCATGGATTTCTGGCTTGCAACTCAGAAATCACTGCTTCCACGGAGGCACTTAATTTGGTGTCACATTGTCAGAGACGTGTTCAAGGTTTTTCCCATCCTCACCAATCTGACCAGGAAATTAAGTTACTGTACATCCCGAGACTTGGCTCTGCATTGTCTGTACAGTTACTAAACAACCTTTGCGTTTTTCGCTAACCATCTGCCTGCACTGACCACATTCACACCTCAAATCCCAGAGGTGAAGCCAGTGACATACATGATAACAGCTCACAAGTCCCATCACAGACAGAACCATCTCTTACCCCTCCCCATCAGAGATACTGAGCGGACAAAACAACAACCTGTGCCCTTACACTGACTGATCTTTGCTCCTGTAACCTGAGGATTGCAAATCACATTCCTAATGACAGTGTTACCTGACTGATCAGGAGGGAGGCAGGTAGGGAGAGATGGGATCTGAGTGTGGAGAGAAGCTCTGATGTTGATGTATGTGACAGACCGGCAGGACCTGGAGCAGGCAGAGAAAGTGGACAAGTTGCAGGAGCCGTTATTGGAAGCTCTGAAGATCTATGTGAGGAAGAGGCGGCCGAACAAGCCACACATGTTTCCCAAGATGCTGATGAAGATCACGGACCTGCGCAGCATCAGTGCCAAAGGTCAGTGTGTCCAGGGGAGGAGAGCACAGCCGGACTTCCACATACACACACACACACACCACAGCCAGACTCCCCCACACACACACACCAACAGCCAGACTCCCCCCCCCACACACACACACACACCAACAGCCAGACTCCCACACACACACACCAACAGCCAGACTCCCACACACACACACACACCAACAGCCAGACTCCCACACACACACACACACACACACCAACAGCCAGACTCCCACACACACACACACCAACAGCCAGACTCCCACACACACACAAACAGCCAGACTCCCACACACACACACACACACCAACAGCCAGACTCCCACACACACACACACCAACAGCCAGACTCCCACACACACACACACCAACAGCCAGACTCCCACACACACACACCAACAGCCAGACTCCCACACACACACACACACACCAACAGCCAGACTCCCACACACCACCACACCACCCACCCCCACACACACACACCAACAGCCAGACTCCCACACACACACACACACCAACAGCCAGACTCCCAAACACACACACACCAACAGCCAGACTCCCACACACACCAACAGCCAGACTCCACACACACACACCAACAGCCAGACTCCCACACACACACACACCAACAGCCAGACTCCCACACACACACCAACAGCCAGACTCCCACACACCCACAGCCCCCAGACTCCCACACCAAACACACACACACACACCAACAGCCAGACTCCCACACCACACACACACACACACACACCAACAGCCAGACTCCCACACACACACACACACCAACAGCCAGACTCCCACACACACACACACACCAACAGCCAGACTCCCACCACACCACACACACACCAACAGCCAGACTCCCACACACACACACACACACCACAGCCAGACTCCCACACACACACACACCAACAGCCAGACTCCCCACACCACACCACACACCCACACCACACCAACAGCCAGACTCCCCACACACACACCACACCACCCAACAGCCAGACTCCCACAACACACACACACACCAACAGCCAGACTCCACACACACACACACCACAACCACACCCAACAGCCAGACTCCCACACACACACCACAGCCAGACTCCCACACACACACACACCAACAGCCAGACTCCCACACACACACACCACACCACACACCCAACAGCCAGACTCCCACACACACACACACACACCAACAGCCAGACTCCCACACCACACACCAACAGCCAGACTCCCACACACACCAACAGCCAGACTCCCACACACACACACACCAACAGCCAGACTCCCACACACACACACACCAACAGCCAGACTCCCACACACACACACACACCAACAGCCAGACTCCCACACACACACACACCAACAGTCAGACTCCCCCACACACACACACACACCAACAGCCAGACTCCCGCACACACCAACAGCCAGACTCCCACACACACCACACATCACACAACACACCACAGCCAGACTCCCACACACACACACACCACAGCCAGACTCCCACACACACACACCACACACACCACAGCCAGACTCCCACACACACACACACACACACCACAGCCAGACTCCCCACACACACCACACACAACAGCCAGACTTCCACACACACACACACACCAACAGCCAGACTCCCACACACACACACACCACAGCCAGACTCACACACACACACACACACCAACAGTCAGACTCACACACACACACACACACCACAGCCAGACTCACACACACACACACACCACAGCCAGACTCACACACACACACACCAACAGTCAGACTCCCACACACACACACACCAACAGCCAGAGTCCCAAACACACACACACACACAGCACAGTCAGACTCCCACACATATACACCAACAGTCAGACTCCCACACACACACAAACCAACAGTCAGACTCCCACACACACACAAACCAACAGTCAGACTCCCACACACATACACACCAACAGTCAGACTCCCACACACACACACACAGCACAGTCAGACTCCCACACATATACACCAACAGTCAGACTCCCACACACATACACACCAACAGCCAGACTCCCCCCCCCCCCACACACACACACACACGCGCGCGCGCGCACAGCACAGCCAGACTCCCACACACACACACCACAGCCAGATTCCCACACACTCCGAGACACCCGGGGAAGAAACTCTCCAGACAGTATTCTTGATAGCAGACTACGCTGTTTAATGCTAACTCTCTGTGGTCCCCCAAGTCTCGGCTCGCACTAACCTGCACCTCATACTCTCCAGCATTGGGTAAATGGGGCGCATGCCTTCAGGCAGAGAGAGTGCATTCCATTCCAGACACAGAAATCTGCATGTAGGTGGCTTACATATCCAGAACCTCTCAGCTTGGTTTGGATACTCTCCAGCACAGTGATGCGTTGTCTGTGCAAGTGTTCCTTGTTTTTCTAAGTTTTCACCTCTGCTGAGACCCAAATTTCACCTTGTTTTAGGCCTACGATCATCGTCTCAAAAGTTTCAGATTGTACAACAGTTAGGAATTTTTTTAATTTAATCCTAATTTGGGAGACTATATATTTCAAGAACTACAGAAACAGCAGCTAAGAATTTAATGTATCTAAGAATTTTATAATAATCCTTACATTTGGTGTAGTGCCTTTCACATCGAGAGGACGTCCCAAAGCGCTTCATAGGAAATAATGTAGAGTGTAGTGACTGTGATTTGTAGGGAAACGTGGCAGCCAGTTTGTGCACCTCAATGTCCCACAAACAGCTATAGAGAAATGATCAATTTTTATTTTGGGGATTGTTGGCCAGGACACCGGGGGAGAAGAACTCCCTCTGCTTTTGATTTTATCGTTCGACCGAGCAGGGCACAGAGACTGTCTCGATTTCAAGTTTCAGCCGAAGGACGGCACCTCCAATAATGCATCACAACCCAGGACTGGACTGAGGTGTCATGTTAGACTGTGTGACTCCCAAGTCCCGTCATGGGGCTTGAACCCACAATCTTCTGAATCAGAGGCGAGCGAGAGAGATACTCTGAGCCAGGCTGACACACATCTCCCAAAATCCTGCACAATTTGAAATGTTTGACATTTGCTGTTGGTGGTGATTTACTGCCCGGCAAGATCACGCCTCCTGGTTAGTGGTGACTTACCTGCCCACAGGGTCACGTCTCCTGGTCTTATATTCATTCCTCTGTTCCCAGGTGCTGAGCGGGTTATTACCCTCAAAATGGAGATTCCAGGATCCATGCCACCGCTCATTCAGGAAATGCTGGAGAATTCTGATGGACTCGACCCTTCCTGCTCTCCTTGTAGCAAAAGCAGCGTGGCCCGTCCGTGTAGCAGTCCCAGCCCCAGCCCCAGCATGTCTCCCAGCTCTGCCAGCAGCAGCCCCACCACACAGTCACCGTAGCTTCATGAACAACACAGGGCGAGTGAGTCGGACTCTCACTCACTCGACATTTGATGTGATTATAAGCCGGATAAGCTGCACAGCGCCGCCGCAAGTTTGTAGCCGCGTTTCCTGCAGCAGTTTGTGGAAGACAGAATGGAACTGGCACCCTGCTCCGCCACACAGAAGCTCTCACTGAAAAACACAACGAACAATGGCCCAGAGCTGCACTGAGCAAACGATCTGAACTCTTACAACCCCTGAAATAAGAATCAATCGTTGCCACAGAACCCTGCAAGCACTGAGCCTCTGGTGGCTGCAGAGCAACGCTTGAGTTAAAGCTAGGAGAGAACTGTGAAGACCCTCGTTTTTGTTTTTTTTTGTTTTGAATTTTATTTTCCTCCTTGTTTATTTTCCATCATCTCATTTAATTTCTAGCTGATAGTCACACAGGTTCACCAGCAGAAACCCGATTGTGTCGGAACACAAAGGAACAAAGCAAAGTTTATAGAAATGAAACCAGTTTTTACAAAAAAATTACCATTTGGATGATTTTCAGCATTGTTTAACATTGGGTTTATCAGAAGGAAACAAAAATGACACTTTTGCGAATGAGTTGTTTATGTAAAAGAATGAAGGTAACTAGGTCAATCTAGGGATGTTTGTAAATAAGCTGTTCTGCTCAATATGCTCCAAAGAGTTCCCAACCCTCTATGCCTTTGTTCACTAGATGTTCATGTTAAGCACATTTATTCTGAGAGAATGAGAGAGGTCCTGTAGGTCTGGAAATCTACCAGCTTGATGTGTGCACACACACATACACAGGATACATTTATAACCACTGCCATCTATTGATTGGGAATTGGTTGGGATGGGCAGGACACTGGGTTAAAACACTGTCCTCTTTTTCTGGAATTTAAAGTCCAGTGTGAGCAGCAGATCGCTGGATCTGTGGGCTATTGTTGACTGGGTGCTGAAGGTTGGAAAGTGCGCTGAGATGGACTGTCCAGATCCCTACGTTTTATCATAGAATCACTTTTCAAAAAAGATAAATTATTTCCACCTTTTAAAAATCCCAGTGTTTTTTTTAAGAAATATAAGTGAAGTAAAACCTCTTGTAACCTTTTACTGATCAATTCAGGTTCCTCTGTAGTCCAGCTCAAGAAGTTCTCAGTGGGTTAGATTGACTGCAGTTGCTCGCAATGGCTTGATCGCACCAGTAGTGTCTTTGGCGGAGTGGAATTTGAGCTTCTCAGGGTTTTGACCAGCAGTTACTGTGAGCAAAGACCCAACACAGTGCTCAGTAAAGGTGTGACTGACTGGACATGAGAAGGAACGGCTGCTGTGTCTTTCCACCACATCTTTATTGGCTCTCAATGATCTAGTTATAATTCTGCTTTAAAACTGCGTTGGATATTTTTGGATATTTGATACTGCTGAGTATCTAGTCACACACATCTCAAAGGGTGAAACACAGGCAATAAATAACTCAAAACAAATGAGCTGACACAGGCTGGGAGCAAGTGTTGCTCTGGGTCACTTCCACTTTGTGTTGCTCTCTACCTCCTGTAGCCCCACACCACAGGGCCATCAAAATCCACAATTTTGCTCTTTCACACCCATCAGCTGAGTTTTGGGGTTGGGGCTGAGCTGTGGCTGAGGCTGAACTGGGCTGGGGGTGAATTCAAGTGATGCAAAACAGATGGGAGTTCAGAAAGAACAGCATTTACCAAAACAATTTAAACAATTTGGCAAATATCCCCTCCCCCACAACACCGACTCCTTAAAAAATGAATTCAGTGCTACCTGTTTAGGATCAGTTTAGGTTCCTGTGTAAAGAAATGGGCTGAAGCAAAGGTTGTTGCTGCTGCTACAAACACCAGCTATATTGACTTTCAGTCCAGACTGCGAGCCGCTGTGAGTGTCTGTGTTTCCAGTGATTACTCCATTGGTCTTCAAAACAATGGAACTCGTTGGACAGCAAATGAGGAAAATAAGACTTGAGTTTTTCTTGTTTGGTTTGGGGTAAATTCCAGGCCCCAGGAATCACTCTCATCTCCCAGCCTTGGCTGAGATTCAGTCAGGGCCTACTTCCTGTTTAGTAATTGCTTTGGGGGTGATGAGGAGATAAGCTATGAAGGTCAGCAGGCACAGAATGGCTTTATTTAACTCATCTATCCATCAGCACCACTCAGGCAGAATGGATTTGAAGCTGTAGATATGAACAGACCTGCTGGAATCTGCTTATCTGATTGATTTACATCCTGCAGGCTTCCCAAGAGTTGGTCTGGTTGAGTTTGACGCAATTGGGCATCAGGTTAGGTTTGAGGGAGATGGAGAACTCACAATCACATTTGTCTTTTGTTCCTCTTCTTTCCACCAAATACCCAGTGGTTCTGCCCATCCAGCCAGTCCCTTTAATGAGACACCAATCCCGCTCATTATGTGCTTCAGCGTCACCTGTGCTGCCCAGCAGTTTAAATGAAAGAATTGTGTATAATTTGACCAGAATTCACATCTTACAAATCGCAACAGAACTTGGCTGGTCAGGAGGCCTTGTGGTAACCCAACTGTAATGTGGCACCTTGAGGAGTAATGGTGCCGGCAGCCAGATTGGCAACATTGAGATATATACCTGGGGAGGGAGGGTCTGAGGTTATGATTTATCCTCGAGATTATAGCAAAATGTGTTGTTCTTACTCCCCTCCCCCCAACCCACCCACTCACTGTACTGGAGGATCACTGGGGGAAGGGTTGAGGCCATGCTTTATGCACCTTAAACCTCTCCTGTCAAAAAGCAAACGAGCTTCCCACAGATAAGGGTAGGAGAAAGCTGGTCTTCTCTCTTAGCAAAGCACGTTCTCCACCCCCACCCCCAGTGAAGCAGACACGCCAGCAGTGAGGCAGGATTCCCTAACACAGCTTAGAATTTTTTATATATACTATTTATTTAATTTTTTAGAAAAATAATGAGTGAAACAAGCTCACCTGGTTTGCCCAGGTTAGAGTTGCTGTCGGCAGAAAGGCAAGTTAACTGCTGGCGTGAGGAAAGGTGCCAGCCACTGATCACTGCGCTCATTATGCATTGATGAGGGCTAAAATGCACAGACTGTGACGAGGCAGGTGGGCTTGCTGTCAGGGTCTGAGTATCCCTTGCGCCAGCTGGATGTGGTCACTGGCTCATTAGAAAAGGCGTTCCTTATCCTGCTGGTGACCAGACCCTTGTGTTAATGAGCACGAGCTCACACGCAGGGAAGGAGACGGTGTTGGAATCTTACTTGTGACACGGATCTGCACAGGGTATTGGGGGGTTATGGCCGTGGGCCACATACGTTCGTTCCAATGTTCCATGGTGAGATGGCCACAGGTGTCCTCCACGTCCTCACTGCTGCATGTTATTGCTTCATCCTGTGATTGCAAACCAACTCCCACCCCAGCTTTCCTCCCAGACCAGTGACAGCACGTGTCTGTCTCTGTATGTAAGTGGCGACGTGACTCGATTCAGTGTCATATTTACATGTTTTTTCTATTGTAAAGCCCCCCCTGTGGTTTTATCAAATTAAGGTACAGTTACACATTTGGTTGAATCATTAACCTGACGCCTCAACTGTTATTGATGAGTTCTTGTTCTGTCAATGGATGTGTTAGTGTACCGGGTCAGACTGTACAGTAAGACTTCCTATAACAAGGCTTTCTCTGTGCAGATGTTACTGTTAAACTTTTCATGAAGTCTACTGGCAAAAGAATAAAGTTATATTTATTCTACAATATGTATCGCCTTTTTTGTGGAAAAAGCACTGAGTGTGATAGACGTATCACATTTTTAGCCTTACTCTATCCCGCAATCCCTCCGCCTCACCCCCTCTCTTGCCTCTTTCAAGTCCCAGCTAAAGACCTTCCTCTTTGACTGTGCCTTCGGCCACCCTGCTCTTCACCCCTCCGGACCCCAACTCCCATCTTGGGTCCAAAATCCCTGACTGTCCAACCCACTGGGACATCTTTCCGATGTGAAAAGCGCTATTACACGGGTAAGTTGTTGTAGTTGTCATTTGATTTCCCCCTGGCTGCAGACTTGTGAAGATTAATTAATGTTCTCTTCCTCTTTGGAGATTGAGATTTCCAATTAAAATGCTGTTTGCTGGGAATTCAGCTCCTTACCTTAAATGACATCAATTGTTGGATGAGACGTAAGGTAATTAATTCTTTGTCTGTAAATGTTTTACATCTTTAATTTCAATTGTTTTTATTCTCATCCTCTTCTATTCTTGGCTGACAGGAAACTGAACTCTCTGCCCCTGCCCCTGCCCCAGCCCCTGCCCCTGCCCCAGCCCCTGCCCCTGCCCCTGCCCCAGCCCCTGCCCCTGCCCCTGCCCCTGCCCCAGCCCCTGCCCCAGCCCCTGCCCCGCCCCTGCCCCAGCCCCTGCCCCCCCTGCCCCTGCCCCAGCCCCTGCCCCTGCCCCTGCCCCAGCCCCTGCCCCAGCCCCTGCCCCTGCCCCGCCCCTGCCCCGCCCCTGCCCCAGCCCCTGCCCCTGCCCCTGCCCCAGCCCCTGCCCCTGCCCCTGACCCAGCCCCTGTCTCTGTCCCAACCTGTGCTGGATGTGCAGCTGATCTGAGTTGGACAAGAGTGTTGGGTAGCGTTACATCCCTTTTCCTTCTGGTGTCCAAAACTCAAGGATGCCGGCAGCTTCAGGTAAGATGTTGAGGACAATTTAAAAAACAGTAAAATGTCTTGTGTTCGATTTCAAATCCCTTCACCCCCTGGCACCTCCCTCCCTCTCCGACCTCCTCACTCCTCAATCCACCCCTGGCACCTCGGCACCTCCCTCCCTCTCCGACCTCCTCACTCCTCAATCCACCCCCTGGCACCTCCCTCCCTCTCCGACCTCCTCACTCCTCAATCCACCCCCTGGCACCTCCCTCCCTCTCCGACCTCCTCACTCCTCAATCCACCCCCTGGCACCTCCCTCCCTCTCCGACCTCCTCACTCCTCAATCCACCCCCTGGCACCTCCGGTCGGTTGGCACCGGCTCCTGCTCGTCCCCCGCACCCTCTGCCCCACCATCAGAGGTCGCGCTCTCAGCCACTACGCCCCAAAACTGTGGAACACTCTTCCCTCGAGGGGGTGGGAGGGCCGTGTAATGTGCCTCTGTCCCTCCACTTGGCGATTCAGAGAATTTATCTCTTATAAACACCCTGTAAGCACTGAGCTGCAATCTCTAATTCTGTACATTTAAAATGAGATTTGATTGGTTTTGGTAAGAGACGGGTTAATAACACACAAAGCCCAGATGTGCAGCTGGAAGTGCTGTTGGGTTATTGAAAGGAATCGAGAAGCAGCAATGCCGATTGTGTCAGATCCCATGTTTCAGCACTGCATCTATTTATACAGACAAGTGACTTTGTATATACAACATTGAATAGAGATTGCTGTTACCAGCAGCGTTGTTGTGTGTGCGCTGTGTGTATTGTGTGTGCGCTGCGTGTATTGTAGGGTGCGCTGCATGTATTGTAGTGTAGTGTGTGCTGTGTGTAGTGTGCGCTGTATGTATTGTGTGTACTGTGTGTATTGTAGTGTAGTGTTTGCTGTGTGTGTTGTATTGTGTAGTGTGCGCTGTGTGTATTGTGTGTTTTGTGTAGTGTGTGCTGTGTGTAGTGTAGTGTGTGCTGTCTGTATTGTGTGTACTGTGTGTATTGTGTGTGCTGTGTGTATTATAGTGTAGTGTGTGCTGTGTGTCGTGTAGTGTGTGCTGTGTGTAGTGTATGCTGTGTAACGTGTAGTGTGTATTGTGTGTGTGCTGTGTGTATTGTTTAGTGTGTGCTGTGTGTAGTGTAGTGTGCGCTGTGTGTATTGTAGTGTGCACTGTGTGTAGTGTGTGTTTTGTGTAGTGTGTGTGCTGAGTGTAGTGTGTGCTGTGTGTAGTGTGCACTGTGTGTAGTGTGTGCTGTGTGTAGTGTGTGCTGTGTGTAGTGTAGTGTTTGCTGTGTGTATTGTAGTGTGTGCTGTGTATTGTAGTGTTTGCTGTGTGTAATGTAGTGTGTGCTGTGTATTGTAGTGTGTACTGTGTATATTGTAGCGTAGTGTTTGCTGTGTGTAATGTAGTCTGTGCTGTGTGTATTGCGGGTCTGACAGGCGATGGCAGCTCAGGGCTCAATTGCATCCGTTCCTTTACAAACGCTGCGGGAAATGATATTCAGTGATTATGGAATCATCAAACTGGTTCATCCAAAAAGCATCAATGTGTTTAAGAGAAAACTTGATTCCGACAGGAATAGAGGGGTACAGGCGAGGGGAGTATAGAGGGGTACAGGCGAGGGGAGTACAGAGGGGTACAGGCGAGGGGAGTACAGAGGGGTACAGGCGAGGGGAGTACAGAGGGGTGCAGGCGAGGGGAGTACAGAGGGGTACAGGCGAGGGGAGTACAGAGGGGTACAGGCGAGGGGAGTACAGAGGGGTACAGGCGAGGGGAGTACAGAGGGGTACAGGCGAGGGGAGTATAGAGGGGTACAGGCGAGGGGAGTATAGAGGGGTACAGGCGAGGGGAGTATAGAGGGGTACAGGCGAGGGGAGTATAGAGGGGTACAGGCGAGGGGAGTACAGAGGGGTACAGGCGAGGGGAGTACAGAGGGGTACAGGCGTGGGGAGTACAGAGGGGTACAGGCGTGGGGAGTACAGAGGGGTACAGGCGTGGGGAGTATAGAGGGGTACAGGCGAGGGGAGTATAGAGGGGTACAGGCGAGGGGAGTATAGAGGGGTACAGGCGAGGGGAGTATAGAGGGGTACAGGCGAGGGGAGTATAGAGGGGTACAGGCGAGGGGAGTATAGAGGGGTACAGGCGAGGGGAGTATAGAGGGGTGCAGGCGAGGGGAGTATAGAGGGGTACAGGCGAGGGGTGAAAGTGTGGGTGGAGCTAAACACTGGCACAGACTGGTTGAGCCGAATGACCTGATTCTGTTCAGTTTCACTCAAAAAGTACTGCAATTATCACCATTGATGGGGAGGGGTAACAGTCACCAACTGCAGAACCTTAAGCGCTGTGAAGCGAGCCTTCAGCTCCCCTCTCGACTCTCTACCCCCTCCTCGCTCCCTCCCTTCCCTCCCCTCACCCTGACCATTTCCCCCCTCCTCGCTCCCTCCCCTCACCCTGACCATTTCCCCCCTCCTCGCTCCCTCCCTTCCCTCCCCTCACCCTGACCATTTCCCCCCTCCTCTCTCCCTCCCTCCCCTCCCCTCACCCTGACCATTTCCCCCCTCCTCGCTCCCTCCCTTCCCTCCCCTCACCCTGACCATTTCCCCCTCCTCGCTCCCTCCCTCCCCTCCCCTCACCCTGACCATTTTCCCCCTCCTCGCTCCCTCTCTCCCCTCCCCTCACCTTGACCATTTCCCCCCTCCTCGCTCCCTCCCTTCCGTCCCCTCACCCTGACCATTTCCCCCCCAATGCTCGGGTCATGACCCAACTGTGCAGCGCCTTGGGACGTCTCCCGACGTGAAAGGCGCTTTATAAATGGAATCTTGTTGTTGTTGTTGTTGTGTGATCTTTGTGCAGCTCTCACATCCATATCCCAGCATCAACAGCATCAACATTCTTGCCCTCACTGGGTCACTCCAGATGATACCTTCCCCTTGACTGAGGTCACACCATCTGGCTACACCTTCCATCTTACCCCACAACCTAACCACCATCGTGGTGGTGTGGCTCTCATCTCCCAGTCCTCAATCAGCCTATCCTCTTAGTTCTCAGGAACATTCCCCTCCTTTGAGCACCTTATCCTCTACCATCCCTCCAATCTTCTCCTCAAAATTCTCCTTATCTGCCGCCCTCCCCAAGCCCTCCCCCAATTTCATCCCCTGACATCTGCACCCTCCAACCTTCACTCTCCCTCTGCTCCGAACACCTTCACATCCTAGGCGACTTAACCTTCACTTCACCCCTCCTGCTCTACCTCTGCTGACTTCTCCTCCCTTATCTCCTCTTTCGACGTCTCCCTCCACATCTACTCCGTCACCCACGTCCACGGTCACCCCCTCAACCTGATGATCACTCAGGGCCTCAGCATCTCTGTCCTCACCATCATCGACAAAGCAATCTTGGACCATCACTTCATCTCCCTTAGCTCCTCAATCCCTCTCCTCACTACCACCCAACCCACCTCCATCTCCCACCATCCCTGGAAAATAATCTCCCCCCACTCCTTCTCAGCTTGGTGTCATCTGAACTTCTTTCCCCTCTGGGCTTCCTTCCACAATGACATATCCTCCTCGGTCACTCTCCTCCACAGCTCCCTCAGTTGGGAAATTCCAAATCCCAGTGTTCAGAACAAGGACTCAACAAAAACCAGTGCAACACATATAATACCTAAACAACATCTAAATGTTTACCACTTGTCGAGCTCCTCGTTGGGTGCCAATATATTGGGAAATTCAAATCCCAGGGTTCAGGACAAGGACTCGACAAATAACAAATATGGCATGGTAAAGTTCTTGCTTTTAATTCACAATGATTAAATGATAAAGATACATAAATGAGACTTTAGAGGTAAGAGTACAACAGGTAATTGATAATTAGATTATAGAATGTCGATGATTACCTTAAGCAAGATTATTGTAGTTAAGTAAAATCCAAGTTCAAATATTCACAGTTATATATAATATGTAGTCATGCAACGGTTAATTTATCGTAAATAACAAACTTATACTACCAGTTTAGCTTTGTTTCAGTCTCTCTCTCTCTCTCTGTCTTGGTCTTTGTCTCGTCCTTCTGGATCTT